GCAGTTTCAACTGCTTAGCTTCATTTTTGAAATGTGTTTTAAAGGAATTAGCTGAAGTAGCTTAGTTTCAAAGTTTAAGTTTAAAATGTCCTTCAATTTTTCAGCATTAACAGATAAAAATGGCAAAAAAAAAAAAAAGGTAAAACACAATGGAAAGGCCCATAAGTATTGAGTCTATTTGGAATATTGGTATGAAAGCACAGCATGCTGTGGATTATCCCACAAGGACTCCATTTCTTTATTGTTCTTCGGCTTTCCCATTATGACTCATTTTACATTCTTTTAATTTCACCGATAACAAAACAGAACTAAATAATACATACACGCATATAATATGTATTTTGGGAGGGATGATCACTATCATACTTTCGGAGGTTACAAAATGCAAACGGAGTTGGTTTGTGAAAATTCAAAGCTTTGTTCTGAATCATTAGTTACCGATTCTCCTGGGGAGCACCCAGTATCCCTCCAGCAGAGTTATGGACACTTATGAAGAGTCAACATAGGGACAGAAAGTCCACGTGATCCAAGGCTGAGACACAGAAGAGGGAGAGGGAAGTGTGTGTCCTAGTCCGCCTCTACTGGGGAGGATGGGAAGTGGAGGTCCTGAAAACATGTTTTCTTTCCCCAAGGACTGAAACCTATGTGGCCTTAAAGATCGCTGACATCATGATGCTTAGATTCCAGAGGAAAAACAGATAATAAGCATAAATAAACAAGACAATCTCAGAGCATGGTAAGTGACTCAAAGGGACTGAAAGACTGTGACTTGATGGGGACTGGGGGCTTCTCGTGAGTTGACAGACCCCTCTGTGCTGATGTAGTTTAGTTCAGACTTGAATTATGTGGAATGATTGGGGCTTCAAATCTTGATCAACTCTACCTTGGGACAAAGCGGCTCAGTTTAAGTTCCCTCTTCTTGTTCTGGAATTCAGGAACTCAGTAGACTTTAAGCGCTGGTGTTCCCTGGGGCTCACAGCTGTGCTCCCAGCCCCCAGAACTGTACCAGGCAGACCCTAAGTGTTCAGCGACCACTCACTGAAAGAAGTAACGGAGTACCATGTGCACCTGAACTCATCTGTCATCTTTTTCCAAACTGCCCCTCCCCTCATGTTTCCAATCTCATGGTTCTCCAGCCAGAGACCTGGGTGTCGTCTTCCACACCTCCTCCCTCCTCTCGCAGGCTGCACTCCCTCCTCCAGCCGAGCTAGTGCATCACTAGGTCCTCTTCGTCCTCCTGTGCTTTAGCATGTGGGGCTTGGTCCTCTGGGGTCCTCTATCCATCCTTAGTTGTTCCCACAGTTTCTTAATGGGACTCCCTGCTCCTGATGTGCCCCTCCCCTCCACTAAATATTCCAGACTTTAGCCAGACCCATCAACGGTGCCTGTAACTCTGATCAGACCTCTTACTCAAAATCCTTCAGTGGCCCCCACAGCTACCCCATTTTGTGGGATGGTCCCAGGCTGACAGGCTGCCCCAGCTCCAGCCCTCACCCCTTACTTCCCAAAGCTCCAGCCCTCACCCCTTGCTTCCCAACCTTGGATATGCTAAACCAACACAGCATCTACCAACAATGAGTGTTCAGTAAGTGCTTGGGAAAGACTCAGAGGGCAGGACTGGGAAATGAGTCAGCCGCCATCTACCCATACTTGGTTTTAAGGGTAGGCCTGTAGGAGGGAGACAACTGAAGCAGGTGTGTGAGCTCTTATTCTACAAAAATGCAAGTGGTGCCCCTTCTGGTGGTGAAACTAGACTCCCTCCCCTCACTGGATGAGAAGGCTCTTCAGGGTGTCAACCAGGAGAACTAGAGAGCACAGATCTTCACCAGTAGGTGGGAACAAAGGTGTCCCGGGGCCAAATCACATGACATAGCAATAATTTTAAAAAAATACAAATAATTCCCCGGTAAAAGGGCCATATCAAGCCCTGCATGTGGGGGAAGGGGGGGCAGGGGAGCGGTTACACCATGAGGGGCAGGTTGGGGCCAGACCCTAAGCTTCCAAGGGATGCGGGTACATGGAGGCTTCATGAAGGATCAGCTGGCAGGAGTTTCGATTTCCTTTCTCTCCAAGCAGTTCACCCTTGTCGCCTTTACTCCTGCAATCCAGCGGCTTTCTTACCCTCCTCCCAGCTATAGACTAGCCTACCACCCCCTTCCCCCAAACGAGGGCCCAAGAACTGGATCCTGAACCAAAGCCTAGACAGAGCTGACAGACCCATGGGGGGGCCTTTGGAGGCAGGAGGGGGCAAGTGCCCATGCAGAGTAGCGCCCTTCTGTGTTCAGAGAGGAGAATAAAAGCAATTAGGTTTGAACAGCCACTTTGCATTAGAGGAGACTGACTTGTCCTTCTGATGTGTTGTTTCCATAGAAGCAGGGCTTAACCTTTTAAGTGAAGATTATGAAGACACCTAATTCATTTAAAATTAGGCTTCAAGCATATCAGTACTTACTGCTCAAGTGTTACTGTGGGGCTTGCCATTGATCTGATTGCCAGGCAGAGCCTGTGACTTGAGACGCTCCAAGACGCTCTTTCTGGTGGCGATTTGGCCCGTGCGTTTATTTTTAAAAATTAACTTCATAAAGAGATGATAAAACTTTCACGTAAGATCACCAGAGTATTAATAAATACCTTTTAATTAATGGCTTGCATTGGGTTCTCTTCATAAACGCGGGAGGGCTGGTGCACAGGCACGAGACAGGCACATTCAATTAAAGTAATTTATTGTTTTCTTCCAGAACAGACATAAAGGGTGTCTTGGGACTTGATATCACAACACATGTTATACACCATTTTCACAACTAGCCTTGCATGGAATTTTTTTTTTAAAGAACATAGTAATCTTAAAAAAATCTAAATATTTACATATTAATAAAACATATATACAGAAGATTGAGACATGATCCACAGGTATGGAATAATAATTTTTTTTTTTGCTAAGAAAGCCTATAAAAAGGATTTCTGAGTAGAGTCTGAACAGTAGTCACAGTTAAGTAAACACAAATACAGTTTTAATTTACAAAAATGATTTTGCTGTTGTAGTTTTACAACACGTATTTCCAATTTGTGAATCCATTGCACATATCTGTGAGCTGAACAATCCCCACCCCCCTCTCAAGTAGTGAAAAATTCAAGCTCTTGCCTAGTCTTGGCAGGAAGTGCTTTGAAGTTTCATAGTGTGTATTTAACAGATTCCACAGCCGTAAGGTAAATGTTTCTACCTTTATTCCCAACGTATTCATCGTATTCATAGTATTATAACAGAGGTGAAAGGTCACTAATTAATCTTTTCAATTCCCTCGAGAAAGACTTCCTTTTGAGAGGCAGAAGATAAATTTTAAAAAATGCCTTGCAGAAAAACAAAAGCCTGGGTTCACAGTACTTTGTTAGACGCTGTGATGAACAGAGGGGTGGGTCTCAAGGAAGGGGCTGCTAACTGGCCTGAAATCGAAAAGGCTGACTAAACTTGTGATGGAAACCATTTCTCGGACCTCCCTGGAGGCTCCAAAAAGAAGGCAAAGACACACAGGTATGACATGTAGCCGTCTAGCGGCTGGGTCGGGTCTGTAAGCTACACCCAGACCAGCTTCGTCGCTTCACAGGGACGCCTCCCACGGCCTTGGGTTGCCTAGCTGGTCTTCAGTGGGTTCCTGAATCCCCCTGGAGCTCTCCTCCTGGCCCAAGGTCAACTGCCCTGTGTCACACGTATGGCACAAGTACCTTGGATGGGGTAGGAAGGAACTGAGGTTCCTGGTTTGGCTAGCAGGTTGATGGGTTGTTGCCCAGCCCAGGATGGCCATAGCCCTCACTCCTCAGCTGCCTCACCGCAAACAAAACGAGGGGTGAACTATAGGCCTGAAGGCCTGAGCTATAACTCTGAGCTCTAACACTCTCTGCTTCGATCAAGTAAGTGTTAGGGACATGTGTTAAATGACAGTATAGCATACCCCCTCCCCAAGGTTTGGTGTTTCTACTGTCCAAATTCCTTTCAAGCCAACTTTTGGCCTTTGGGTCAAGTGTCAAAGATTCATGGTAATTTGCTTTATACAGTAAGTGAGGTATAAAAGTAATGTTTCTAAACAAACAGGTTATTTTAAATTCACCATCTCAACTAGAGAAAGGAATCTGGAGATAAATATCTCTGTAAAACAAATACCCACATGCCAAAATACTTCTTGGAAATGAACCCACATTTTCATTTGTTGGTTTTATGTCAAGTGGAGAGCACATGTGCTAGAGCTGAATGAAGTGTGAAGGGTAAGTACATTTGTGGCCAGTTGCCACACGATGCCACAACCCTGGACTACTCAGAGCCATCTGTTAAAATAGTTGTTGGGTATTATGTGGAAGGCTGCTTACTCTGAGTTTCTCACCTTTCAATTAGGTATTTTGTCACTGTGTTGACACACAGCCTACGTGAACGGTTTTTCTTTCCTGACAATTCATGTATCATTTGCACTTATCAAGGACATGATTATTTTGGGGGGAAATAATGTCACAAATGATTTCATCTAATAGGTTAGAGTCACCCTGTCTCCCAAAACAACGTTTCCATCTTCGAGGCTGATGACAGTTCTAATTAATCTTGGCCTTTACCACTGCTCCTTCAGTCCTCCTGAAAGGGCCACTCTCCTTTATAAAATGCATTGAAGCAATTTATGTTAAAATGTGTGCTTCCAAACTCTCTACCATATTCACATTGAAAAAAAAAAGAAAATAAAACTGTTCTTTTTTGATGGACAACGAACCAACTGAATGATACGTTGGACGTTGAAAGGCTGACAGTTCAACTCTAAAGATGATTTTTTAAAAATCTTAGACCAAATCGGAGGCTTGGTTATTGCATATGACAAAGAAATAATATGAAAACTATTCAAACGTGACGGGTCAGCTCCATGGAACGCCCATGCCTTGCAGTGACCTGAAATGCTAGTGGATCTCTGAGGAGATTCAAGTGGAGGAGCTGTGTGTACTAAGGAGCAGGGTCACTAAAAGAAAGTCTAGGCAGTGAAAGCTGTCCCTGTGTCTTCCGGTTTTTCTCTCCTGGTGTCAAGCATATGACCTACAACAGAGACAAGAGCGTGAAGGGGGTCCCTTCTCTACAAGGACTTGTACGCTCTTCCATGACACGGCCAGATGTAGGACCTCTTGGGGAGGCATCTGTGATTTATCTCTAAATCACTGTTTCTTAACCAAGGCTTTAGGTGTGCCAGATGGGCAATTTTAGGCCATTAGAAATCTGCAATAATGATTTTTGCAGGAAAATCCATGAATGTGGGTTACTTCTAGAGGATGTTCACATGTATTATCCAGCAATAGATAATGGCTAAATAAAATATGATTTACCTGTAAAACAGAATATCATGCAGCTATTAAAAGAATGTGTATGGAGATTTGTAATAAAATGGAAAATTCTTGTTAGGTGGTCAACCAAAACAGAACAAAACCTTAGGGAACCAACTGGATGGATTTGACCTCCAATGTATAAATTTTAAAAAAATTCAGAGAAAAGGCTGGGAAAAAAAACACCCAATAATAATGACTGTGTCTGGGTGGCAAAAGTAATTTACATTTTCTTCGTTACACTTTTCTGTATTAATTTCTAAAAGTATGTAAATGGATGCCAAATGATGACCCCCAAATGCTAAGCCTAGGTGCACTCTGCACTAACCTATTTCAAATTCAGAAGTCTCCCAACTCAGTGTTGATTCCTGGCCTTGCTCAAAAATGCTTACTGAAAGGGTTGAGGGGAGAGAAATTAAGAAAATGTTTTCCACTATAAAATATGTATCCATTTTGTTAAAACTAGACAAACAGAAGGTTGCTTAAGTGTGATGGATTGAGATTAATGTCATCTGACGCCTGACTGTAAAGTTGGCCTGGTTGGTTCTGGCTCATTGAAACACTTGGGGAGTTATACCCCTGTCCCAGCCCTCCTCAACATACATGAATTTGGAAGGAGCAAAAAGGCCTTAACCGGATAATAAAAGCATAGTTAAATCTTTAAAAAAAGACCAACTATGGCTGGCTCAGAGAGACCAGATAACCAGATGAGGACTATCTGGCCAGTGAGTCTCAGATCCAGGGAGGAAGCTGCATGTATGGGACGGTCTCAGACAGTCTCATTAGGAGACTCGTAAGAAGAGAGCATGCAGTGGTGGCGCTGTGTTCAGAGAAGCCCCGGGCTATGAGTTTAGGTTAGAGGCTCTGGGGAGACTTGCTAGTCTAATCAAGATCATTTAATTCCATGACTGCAAGATTCGGGCACCAATCCGTGACTTCTTTTCCCTTTTTTGAGATGATTAAGTGGTATTATTTCTCATGCTCTCTAATGATTTGAATCAAATCTCTAGCAGGAGTCTAGTGAAAAGACCTGCCAGGGGTGTCTTACAACTGCCCTCACTGGGACCTCACAGCCTCGGGATCTGAGGACAAACCCGAGAGCTGAACTGCAGCAGACTTCAGGCCGGCTTACAACGGGGCAACACTGAAATGGAATCCTACAGGGATTGGTACATCCATCAACTCTTAGGACCGCTAGGAAACATGCAGAGAAGGTTTAAGAAAGCTACGCAGTGGACCGGCTGGGAGTTGAGAGGCCTGGGCTTCGGCCAGGCCACCAACCAGCTGTGAGACCTTGAAAAGTCATTTAGTGTTTCTGGGCCTCAGGCTTTTTTACCTGTAAAATAAAAGGACTGGATAAAAACGAGGGACAGGACTAGATGACCTCTAACGTTCCTTTTTTCTCAGAGTCCTTGAAAGTGTTTTCAGTTCCATGAGGCGGTTCTACCATCCCGGGTTCAATTTTCTCATCTGAAACATCTCTCTGCCTCCATCTTCAGATGGAAAAATGCAAAGGTATTATTTCAAGGGGAGTGGTTTTCAAATAATATACTTCTTAAAAGCCCACTGTGGCAGATGGTAGCCAGGATGGGCAGTACAAATGCCCTGGGGACAATGGGGCTGGTTGGGGAGGAACCCTGGAAAGTATTGGGTTGGCCAAAGAGGTCATTGGGGGTTTTCCATAAGACACTGGAAACAAAAGTTTCCAATGAACTTTTTGGCCAACAGATACAAGTAGAACAGCCAGGGGTTCCTCCAGAGGGCCTCCCAAAAGGGGACAATCTCATCATTAGTAGCAGTGCTTCATGCCTCTACTGGGAGGGGGTGGTCAGAACAAGGATAATGGGAATTTTCCTGATACTCAGAGAAGGACAGGAACAATAGAGATCATGCATTTCAGTTATCTTCCCTCTTAAATATGGACACATAGCCAAACTAGAAGAGAAACCACTTTTCTGGCATTTCTGTAATGACTATCCAGTGAGACCTCGATAGAAGCAGGTTGCTGTTGGCCTCCGCAGTTTATTTCATTTACCTATCCATCTATCTGTTGCTTAGTTACTCGGTGACAAAGAAAGCACCGTCTCCCTTGTGTGGCTGTGACTACTCTGAAGTTCATTAATGTGTGTCTGTACACCCTGAAGTCAGGGTGATTGCTGCCTGTGTACAAGTGGCCTTGCAGAGTTCCTACACATGCCTTTCACAGTTGCTGGCGCTACCATGCCAAAGGGAGAGAGAACACTGAGCTGAGCTTGTTCACCGACAGGGCTTTTGAAGGGGGAGGTGCAGGGCGATGTCTGGGTTTCGTTGTTAGAGGTATTTCAAGGGCAGTCAATATAGAATCTTGAGACCAACTGAGGGATAAACTCTGTCACGTGGCTCACTGATCAGACATCTGTCCCTCGGGCTCTCGGGTGAGAACTGAGGCACAGGTGGAGTCCAAGGTTGGAAGGATTACTGGAGAGTTAAATAATAAGTTCGAATGAAGTCGGCAGCTTATCCCTGCCGCAGATGCATCAGTGAGATGTTATATTCAGCTGATCTGGTTACAGTGTTAGTCATCTGAAGAGATGGATCAGCTTATTCACTCACTCAAAGCACAATCGAAGGGTGGCCATTATAGGGAGAGTGGTGATACTGCCTCTCAAAGCCTTTTGGGGGAAGGAGGGAGAGGCCAGAACAGACAGGAGTCCCATCATAGAACAGATGATCCCTAATCTAAACAGAAATATCATTTTATGTTAAAATAGATATCTTTTTAATGTCCCAAGGTTTGGGGAGGCAAAATGTGACACTAAGTTCTTAGGACTTGCTGTTCTGAGGTTTTCAAGAAGATGAAACAGAATGTGAGAAAACTGTAGCTTTTCATATTCAATTTGCAAAATCTCCCTGAATGCAGGGCACTGAGCTCCTCTGAGGACTAGGGGCTGGGTCTCTTAAGGGAAGTAGTTTGCTCAAGCATCGGCATCTCTGATGTTAAAAACCTTTTCAATGCAAATATTCTCATATGCCATATTTTCCAAAGGGTGATGAAAATGGAAATGTATTTTACCTGTTGGGGTTAGAGAAACACCGTCCAGCCGTTCATCACTGTCAGCTGCCTCTGATGGTTACAAACATAAAATACGAATCTCATTAGTTTCAAGGCATTCATTCATTCTGCCTAATATGGTAATACAATTTAAAAACTCCAGCGTACATAATGGTTTTCACCTTTCTTTTCCCTTCTCAGTTTAGGCTGGATCACATTAGAGATTTTAGGAGCATGACTTAAATAAAATTTTTTTAAATGATATAAAATCTATTTTCGTGTATTAAACTTTTTTATATCTTATGATCCTTATTCTATCACTCATTGATGATTTCAGTTCATTTTCGCTTATTTACACAGGCTTCAGTATCTACCCAGAATTTGGGGTGAATTGTTTAAACCTGATTGTTGAAAGCATGGAGGTCAGTGAATTCCTATGGCAGAATTTTACTGGTCATTCCCAGAAATATTCCAGTGGGGCAGGCTTATGACAGCTTGGGAACGAAACGTTTTTTGATGGCTGGAAACTCAATCTAAAATCAACATAAAGTCATGGATAAAATCAGAAAGAATAATAAGCATTTCTTCAAAAGATTTGTCACTTCTATGCTTTAAAATGCAAAATGCTGCTCATTTCATATATTTCAATTGCCCTTAAGAGTTTTCCAAAAGTAGATCCTTTTGTCACAGAGAACCTTCCATCAAGTACAAAAAAAGAAGGTGCCTGTTTGTTTCCTGGTAAGTGATGGGCTTGTCAGTTTCCTGGACGTGCTGTGGATAGGCCAGAACATTCCACAGCTACTGGGATCACTCTGGCCCGCTCCCTCTGTCCGAAGGCTGCAGCCCTGTTGGAATTTCCCGCACGTGTGCCCGAGAGGGCAGTTGGGTGAGGGCTGCTGCGTGCAACATGCTGTAATGCTGAGTTAGTGGGACGCAAACTAGTGCTTTGTTCTTGTTCTGTTTGCTGTGGTTTTGTTTTTTGGGCTGCTTGACATCTTACTACCCCCACCAGGGATGGAACCCATGCCCCTGCAGAGGAAGTGCGGAGTTTTAACCACTGGACTGCCAGGGAAGTTCTTGATTATTGTGAGTTTAGACACAATCAGGGTTCAGAGGTGGATGGAGACATTCAGAGATTTCCCCTTGTTCACCTCTCTACCATCCTGTCTGCAGATTGCCACACGCTGGCCCGTAAAAGACCCATCACCCCTTACCTGCTAAACCCACCACAAAGAAAAATAGAGACAGAGTAGTCAAGACCAGTTTTGGTTGGAGAAGATGATGATGTAGGTGAATGCTTAATAATATAAAACATATCCAGATGGGACAAATGGTAAGATTAGAATTCTGTCAATATATTTATGGGCAAAATACAGCTCACACTAAAATGTTAAGTGTTTCTCTCTGCATGAAAAGTTTATGAATATTTAAAATTTTGTTCAAGTTTAGCAAATTTTAAAATTTTCTTTCATATTTAAAAAAATAACAAGCATGTTATTTTCATATTTAGAAGACATTATTCTCTTTAAAAATTTTTATTTATTTATTTTGCTGTGCTGGGTTTTAGTTTCAGCATGTGGGATCTAGTCCCCTTACCAGGCATTGAACTCAGGCCCCTTGCATTGGGAGTTTGGAGTCTTAGCCACTGGACCACTAGGGACATCCTGACATTATTCTCTTCTGATTGGTTTCAGTGAACTTGAATAGGAAGATGACCTTTCATTTTCTGGGATTTAAAAATTTCTTCAGTAATAATAATAATAGCTATGATATGCATCACCATTTACTAAATGCTTACCACCTACTGAGGACTTACTATATGCACCATGTCATCTAATCCTTAGCAACCCCTACAAGGTAGGTCTAGCTTATGCCCATTTTAACAAACGAGGCAATGGATTCAGACATTAAGAAATTTACCTAAGGTAATAATACAGCTAGTAAGTGACTCTGCCAAGGATTTGACTAAGGTTAACGCCTTGACTTAATCTCTTTGCTATTAATAGTCCAAACATATATAACATGCATCGCTATAAGCTACATTGTTAAAACTTCAGGTTTTTTAAATTAATTTTTTAAATTGCAGTATAGCTGATTTTACAATGTTGTGCCCATCTCTGCGATACAGCAAAGGAACTCAGTTATATACATATAGACATTCTTCTTTCTTATTCTTTTCCATTATGGTTTATCCCAGGATACTGACTAAAACTTCCTGCGCTGTGCAGTAGAGCCTTGTTGTTTACCGTCCTATGTATAATAGTTTGCATCTGCTAATCCCACGCCTTCCCTCCCTCGCCTCACTTCCCCTTGGCAACTACAGGTCTGCTCTCCAGGTGCATGAGTCTATAAAACTTAAAGTTTTAGTTCATTTTACACTTTAATAACTTCCTCTGCTTTCTATAAAAACTGCTTTTTACTGAGTGGTGACAAAAATCAGTTCCAGGGATGAAGTTGATCACTTTGTAATTCAGCTATCCTCACTTTTTAAAAACAGGCCTGTGCAAATATGTGCTCTGTAAGAACCAAACATAGACAACCCCCGAATCTGTAAAGGATTATGTATAAATTAGCAGCTGCCCGCTGCATGAACAGGGCCAAGTGTCTCGGATGAAGAACACGACTGTTACTTAAATTTAATTATAACATCTGTCTGTAACAACAAGCTCACAGTCTTTCTTCTCTGGTGACAGGCAAGTTGTGAAATTTGAGGAAGATTGAGCAAGTCCAATAAAAATGTAATAGCAGCAACAGCTTTACTCTTAGATCCAACACAAATAATAAAAATTGCGATTTCCGCACCGAGGAAATAATCTAATGAAAATGATAAAAAAAAAAAATCCACACCAGGAAAGGAATCATTCCAGTTATCGAAGAAAAATTACTACATGTGATGAGAGCCCTGAATGAATTTCTATTTGAATTTGAAGAACAACTTTTCAAATCTGTGGGGGGCACTCCTTTTTTCATGGAGGCTGTGAGGGCTGGCTTTAGCGGTGAGTTGATTGTTTGCCCAGGGAGAGTGTGTACCTAATTCCAGGAACTGGGCCAAATATGATAAATCAGGTTGAAGCTGTGGAATACCTTTGAGACACTGTATTGTCACGAAGACTGAGAAGGAGACACAAAAAGAGCAAGCAATAGCATTGACCCCCGGCCCCTTAGTTCCCATCACGTGGCGACAGCAACACATGTGGCTCCAGTTACCGTTTGCTAGGGTCCCACTTCTGTGCGGCTCAGAGAGAATGAAGTGGGTGAACCCATTCGATTCTCTCTGAGCGGCACGAAGTGACAAAACTGGGAGGCAGAGCCTACTTGGCAGGTCACTGCAGAAGCGCTGCCATTTTGCCCTCCTGTGGTCTCTGTGTGGTCTCTATGTCACCTTCTGCTTCTCAGACGCTGATAGAACCTGCTAGAAGGGTAGGAGAGAACTGCCAAGGTGCCAGTCACAGCTCTCTAGGCAAAGACTCTAAAGCCAGGGTCAGAAGTGAAAACATCCTAAATCAGATAAGAGCACAACCCCAGAGCAGGGCAGGCGGTCATCTGGGCAGGTGACATGGGGGAGGGGGGGTGCAAACTGCACCCCATTCTGTACGAACAGCACGGGGAATTACTGATCCAAACCCTGAGATGGTTAAGGAGTGTATTCCCTGGCCAGTCTATCTGGGGGACGTGGAGGAAGGTCCCCACTGTGTGTGTGTGTGTGTGTGTGTGTGTGACAGGAAAGGGAATGGAGGCCAGAGCTCAGAGTAATTGGTCTCAGCATCTGACAACAGAAAAAAAACAACAAAAAAAGAGGTGTGTTTATGTATAAAATATACACAGGAGAGGGGAACAACATCAAAACGGAGCTTGTTCTTCTAGTCCAGCGTCTCTGAGAACAGTGCTCTCCAGTGTATTCAGCACAGGCCCAGCGCGCTACGCCCGATGCATATCTTCTGCCTTCAAAAGTGACTCTTCAGACTAGAACTTAGTCCTTTAGGGATGGTGAGTCACTCACCTCCGCTGGAGGTGCAGGCTCTGGGACCCCAGCCCTCTTCCTCCAGGTGGTCTCTGCAGCTCCTCAGTCAGCAGCGTCAGGATGAGAATTTATCCCATCCTTTCCCTGCAAGCTTCCGAGGAGCTCCAAGCACGCCCTATATCCTCCCGTGTGCGCCCATCACCCCGTGTGACACAGGTTGCGGTTTAGGTGGAAGAAGCCTGTACAGATTTGCTGGAAGCTGATGGCATGACCGGGACCAGCGTGCAGGGGCCACAGGGCAGCAGGTGGCTGTGTGGGGCGGCTGTGGCTCTTTCCGTCTCCTTGGAACTAACCTCGTATTACATTTCAGTCTCTCCACAGTGATAAATCTCAGTTCTCTCTGACAACAGACTTAGTGTCTTTTGTTCTGGGGGTTCAAGAATTTGCTCTGAAAAGCCAACAGGTAGATACAAGTGCTCACATACTCAAAACAGTCAGGATGGGTTAATGCAGACTTCAGGCTAACAGGGACAGTGTTCAGGCTTCTTCTTGGAATTTGATTAGGGATCATCTGAGACATGCACCCAACATGACACCAGTGCTCACTTAACAAGGGGTGACTCAGGGTGCTGTCCTTCCTAACACCTGTCAGTCAGCTGCAAAGAGCTCTTTCCTTGGAGCCTGAGATCTAAGGGGTCAAGAGTCACAGGCGGCCTTTGTAAGGCGTCTCCAGGCGGAGATAGGGGGCCTTCAGTCTGAGAAGAGATGAGACCCACTGGCAGAAGGTTGATCTTCCCAGGTGTTATTCAGTTAATCCACTCAGCGTGAGGTCCAGGTATTGTGACTCACGACTCTGAACCTTCGGGGGAGGCTGGGAGAAGCGGCAGTCGGGAGGGAAGAAAGAGGAGTAAGGAGATGGGGGCAGAGAAGTGAGAGAAAGGACCTGAGGAGGGAGGACAGGCATCTGGAGAGTGGCTGCAGAGGCACCCTGGACACAGCCACCCCCAGGTTCTGGGGGAGATGGGGAAGCACTTGAACCTCATGTAAGGAACTGATGGGTTATTCTCCGGGGTTTCAAGTGACTGTGATGAGCTAAGACCTGTTTGCTGTGGACTGCTCTCCCTTTGTTTCTATTCATTGGTTCGTTGGTTCATTCAACAAATAGTCCCACATGTCCACGTTGTGGCACACGCTGTTCTAAACATTTAGGGACACACAGCCTCTGCTCCCAAGGATCTCGTGGAGGAGACAGATGTGTCCCTGTCACTATTCCGGCGGCAGAAGATCAGTGTCTGGGCTGCCTGGGAGGCCTCCGGGAGGAAGTAACCTTTGAGATGCTGCACGTTTCCCAGGCAGAGAGAAAGTGGGTGTGGGGGTGCCAGCCGATTTCAGACCGGGGGGGCGCTGATGTGGCTTCAGGGAGCAGAAGCTGATGGCAGGCGATGAGGCTGGCGCTAGACGGTGAATAACCATGGATGCTGTGCTGAGAGGGGTGTTTAGCAGGGATTTTATTTGGAGGCTGACAGGAAGTCAGATGTATTTAATCCGGGGTGGGGCATGAACAGACCCCATTAGCAGAGGCACAGGGAACGAAGACTCGGGTCTCAGGATATGGCCAAGCTCGGAGCCGCGCGCTGGGGCGATGGGTCAGTGCACGTCACCAGGGAGGATGCAGAACAGAGGAGACAGGCAGAAGTGAAAGAGGCAGGGAATGAGACCCCAGACACTGAGGGGGAATCTGGAAGAGAAACAGAATGAAATCACAGAACCTGGGGGAAGAGTGTGTCAAGAAGGAGATTCGACAGGGTAAAAATCAGTATGGAGGTCAAGTTCAACTGTTAAACAAGTGAAATCTGATGATCCAATGTGAACGTGGCAGAGGAGTGAAGTCAGAGGGCAAAATGCAATGGATTCTAAGCTGCTATATAGCATGTGGAGCTCAGGCCGTGATCTGTGATGACCTAGAGGGGTCGGATGGGAGGGAGGGGATTATGTATATATGTACATGTAACCAATTCACGACGCTGTCCGCAGAAACTAACACAACATTGTAAAGCAATTATCCTCCAGTAAGAAATAAATAAAGTGAACTGGGATGGGGAGGCGAACTCTGGGAACAGAGACCCTTTGGGAAGAAATCTGACCAACGATGCCAGGAGAAAGACAGAGAAGTGCTTTTAAGATGTGCGAGGAAAAAGGAGTCACTTTGTTTTGAGTTGGCAAAGGGAAGGAGAACAAGGTCGTGGGCATTTTTTGAGCATTATTATATTTCTGCTCTCCATCAGTGGCAATACTTTATCTAATTTTAACTCTGAAAACACTGCGTGGAAGGTATCAGCCTCATTATATAAATGGAGAACCTGAGGTTCAGAGAGGTTGAGACATTGGTCCAGGTTGCCAGGAGATTGTAAATGGCAGACCAGAGCTAGGAGGGCAGCGTGTCCTCTGCACTGCACTGTGCTGTGTTTATTGCCGGTGATTTGGGGATGCAGGAGGCAGAGAAGAAGAGGGTGAGGGCATGACTTACTGTCCAAGCCTGAAAACCTTTGAGAGCGAAAGGCGCGTCACTGATAATCACGCCTGGACCATAGGAGCAAAGCAGCTGCCCTGGCATAGCAGGCCGGTGGGTCTCCTGACTGAGGACGCAACTGTGGCTGCCCCAGTGACCCCCACACTGCCAAGCACGGCTGTGCCCAAAGACAAACCTCTTCTGAGAGGTACGCTAGCTTGGCTGATGGACATTCCTGTAAGCACACGTCAGGAGCCTCACGACAGCGCTGAGACTGGCTGTACTTCTTGTCCCCTCAGTGATGGAGACCCAAGGAGGAGAAGGACCTAGTGACTTGTCTGAGGGCCAGAGCTGGCGAAGAGCAGACATGAGTCCTGGGAACTGGATCTACTGACTTCTCTGTGACTTGTTACATAAAGCGATAATCCATTTGTTTACCAGTTAAATTAGTAGTCCACTGCTCTTTATAAAAAGAGAATCAGTTAAGCGTAAAAAGAAGCCAGAAGGGTAAAGAAGGAGGAAGGGAAGATTTTTTAACAGAAAACTCATCTAGGAGTTGAGTCCTGCTGGCTACTTCTATAGACCTGTAAGGGTTTTTTTTTTTTTAATTATTATTTATTTTTGGCTGTGTTGGGTCTTTGCTGCTGCTGATGGGCTTTCTTTAGTTGTGGACAGCAGGCGCTATTCTTTGTTTCAGTGCGAGGGCTTCTCATTGTGGTGGTTTCTTATGGCAGAGCACAGGCTCTAGGTGTAAAGATTTTAGTAGTTGTGGTGCACAGGCTTAGTTGCTCTGTGGCATGTGGAACCTTCCCGGACCAGGGATTGAACTCGTGTCCCCTGAATTGGCAGGTGGATTCTTACTCACTGTGCTACCAGGGAAGTCCGACTATAAGCTTTTTCACACTGAAAAACCATGTGGTCCCTCCGTGCGCTGTGTCTTGTCAAAGGCACTCTGAGCCTGAGCCCAGAGCTCTCCTTCCAAGGGCTGGTAACTGGGCTCCTCAGGATGCTTGGTCACAGTTACTTCTACTCATGGTGAGAATTCCAAGAGGCTGTGTTACAGATAGTCTCCTGAGTTTGAACTACTGTTCTCATGGACCTCCAGACCTCTGTTAAATCCCTAAGTGTGACATTCTAGCATCCAAAATCTGTCTCCCCAGATGGATGGAAAAAGAAGATGTCGTACATATATGCCATGGAATATTACTCGACCATAAAAAATGAAATAATGCCATTTGCAGCAACATAGATGCAACTAGAGATTATCATACTAAGTGAAGTAAGTCAGAGGGAGAAATGCCACATGATATCACTCATATGTGGAACCTAAAATACGGCACAAATGAGCCCACCCATGAGAGAGAAAGACTCAGAGAACAAGCTTCTGGTTGCCAGAGCGAAAGGGGGAGGGCGAGGGATGGACTGGGAGTTTGGGGTTGGTAGATGCAAATTATTATATCTAGAATGGATACACAACAAGGGCCTACTGTACAGCACAGGAAACTATATTCAATATCCTGTGGTAAACGATAACGGAAAAGAACATAAGAAAAGAATGTCTATATGTGTTAGAGCTGAGTCACTCTGTACTGCAGAGATGGGCACAACATTGCAAATCAGCTATATTTCAATAAAAATAAATAAAATCTGTCCACCAAACTCTCACATCACAGCCACAGAGGCACAGTAGGCTCTTAGAAGGCCAGGGGTCCTGAGATTTGATTAGGAATTATGCTTTGTTTTGTTTTTAAAATAATAACTACATAATGGAAGAAAACTGACTCCAAAGGGATTCTTCACTGGTAAACTGTCCCACTGCTACTTTGGGGAGACTGAGAATTCAGATGCCCAAATCTAAACAGGCAAATGCAACCAGTGTTCACTTTTCCTAGAAGAATTATCCTAGAATTGCCAAGTCCAGATTGAAAATTAAAAAAAAGGTAAGTGAATAGTTTACTTAGAAAGCTCTTTCTACTTCACATGGTATTTCACATGGATGTTTATTATTATTTCATTTTTTTTAACCTAAAGCAACTAGTACTTTTTATAAAGTCATGCAGATCCAAACAAATAAAAACCAATAGGTAACAGAAGCAGATCACAAAAGACCTTGTTTCAAACACAAGACTACCAATGAGATTAGCAATCTTTTTCATTTGTGCTATTTAAAGTAAATGACCTGATGTAACTGTCACTATTTAATTTTAGAGTGAATTTCAAAATCATTTGAATAAGATTTTAAAACACAAAACCAAGGCACATTATATAAAGCCTCTCCTTCAAAAGACAATGAAGTATCCGAGAGTAAATAACTGTATTTTGCATCTAAGAATTCAGTTGAGGGCTTCTGCAATTATTTTCTTGCAACTTATTCATACCTGAGCCTCTTTTTAACCTTCTTCTTGCCAGTTTGATTTGATCCTGCAGAATCTGAACCCAGTCTCTTGGGCCAGGAAGTTTATCCACGTGATTAGCAGTGCAATATTTTTCTGTGAAGACTGAAAGAAAATATGAAATATTGTTAAACATTTGAAAAAAGAAAATGCAGATTTGAAATAGGATCATACCCCCAAGAAGAGGCGGGGGGAAGTATATTTCTAAAAGATGTCAGTTCTGCAGTGGTTATTCTCTAAATCCATATGACATTCTTTTGGTGAAGATGGAGCTTGGCAGGGCCCATCCTGCACACCATATCCTGTGCTTCCAAATGAAACTGGCTATAAATGCTAGTAGTTCTACTGAAACTGCTTTTTCTGATTGCTCTATGTCCAAGTGCTTTGTCTTATGGGCAGAGAAAATGCTTCCTAGGGGGTCCATTGGCCCCATGACAGAATTCTGCAAGTGTATTAATGTATTTCACTTTTCTGTTGTTAACTCAAAATCAAATGGAGGGGACTTCCCTGGTGGTTCAGTGGTTAAGACTTCCAATGCAGGAAGTACAGGTTCGATCCCTGGTCAGGGAGCTAAGACCCCACACGCCTCCAGACCAAAAAACCAAAACACAAAACAGAAGCAATATTGTAAGAGATTCAATACAGACTTTAGAAACGGTCCACATCAAAAAAGAAATCAAATGGAAAATTACACAGTGAGATGATGTTCTCATGGTGATTCCCGCTAACTGGACCAGCGCTCAGTGGATCAATGCAGTTGTGTCTTAGTGAAAGCTCCAATCCTACTTTGAGTCAACTTCTTGCATCCTGAACTAGCAGCAAATAGAGAAGAGCTCCCTGGAAGCACAAAGGAAGCTCTGGGAGTTGTGTGCCAGGACACAACGGAGCAGGACAATTATCTGAGCAAAGCCGCACAGCATGCAACGGTGCACAGGGCACTGGGGCTGGCACTTCCGCTTCACGCTGCGTTCCTGAGCACTTTTCAACCTGCTCCCCTTGAGGTCAAGGTCTGCCACGTGGCCATGTCACATTGCCTCTTTGGTGTTTAAAACAATGATCATTTTAATGTTTTAAAGGTTTCTTTTAAAAAGAAAGGACAGAGGAAAATGCTGTCAGATTCAACTAACTGTGAACAATTTCTATTGAATAAAAAATAAAATTTTCATTTGAATGAGCAGAGCTAGTGGCACTAGCTTCCACCACCACAGGAAGAGCTCATCCCAAATAAAAGCGTAACTTCAAGCCTCCACGGATAAATGGACAAAGTAGACTTAGCAAAAAACAATACGGAAAACATTCAAGTAATGTGTAAGCCCCTAAATTGCAAAACACACTTTATACCTACTAAATTAGCTAAGCGATTAAGATAATACTAATATTGATAAAATTGTGTGGACCTGGTACATGCAAGTTTGACTGTTGGCTTAAACTGGCAAGACCCTTTTGGGAAATAAGATGGCTGTATATGACAAGGGACATAAAACTGTTATTCCTCTGGATTGGTAATCCTACGTCTATAAATTTATCCTAAGTAAACAGTAATGTGAAAGAAGGGGAAAAAGTCATAAACAATCTGGAATCTGTGGGGGATGGGTCTCAGGACCCGCCCGGCTGCCAAAATCCATGGATACTTAAGTCCCATATGTACAATGTGTATTATATGCATACCACCCATGCACACCTTCCCATATACTTTAAATCATCTCAGGGATGATTTAGAATACTTAACACAATGCAAATACTATGTAAATAGATGCCTGCACTTGGCAAGTTTGTTTTGTTTGGAACTTTCTGGAATTTTTTCCCAAATATTTCTATTGGCAGCTGGTTGAACCTGCAGGTGCAAAGTCCGTGGATGCAGGGGTGGGGTAGGGTGGGGGGGGGTGTACACACATCAACAATCCAGTTGTGCAGGAGGAGATGCAGGGCGGCCCAGGGCGGGTAGCTATGTCTGTGGGGGAGCACGGATGCCTTTGAGGAATGTGCATAGTCATAGAGTTGGGGTGGCGCTAGTGAAGACAGAAGGGATGATAGAACAGATGGGGAACTGGCATTTCTGGAGACTCACATGACTTGTAAATCTAGGAGGGGGGATTGTGAGGGGATGGGCCAGATGCATCAGGCACGGTTTGAGACACGCTGAGTTTGGGGCATCTGTGGAGCCCCCATGGGGGACGGCTGGCAGTTGTCTCAACACAGATGCCTGTAGTTCAGGGAAGGGGTCTCTGCCCAAGATGTAGACTTCAAGGGCACAAACGTGTGTGGTTGTTAAAACGACAAGAGAAAATACAGTGGGCAGGGAGAAGCTTTCAACAGAGGGCTGGGCAAGCACAGAACAGCAGGAACCCCTGGGGTCTGAGGGAGGCTAAGGCATAGAGCCCAGGGAGCAGCTGGGAAGCATGGTCTGGTGCAGGTGGGAGTGTGTGAATACACTACAGGGGAGAGACCCACAGTCCCCGGTGCAGAAGAGCCAGGAAAGAGGTGTGGAGAGGGTCCCTGGCAGTGGGCAAGGACGTGGGGAGGGTGACCAGAGATAGCACTCTCCAAACACCACGTCTGTGGGAGCGGGGAAGAAGAGGAGGAAGGCTGGGGTGGGGGAAGGCAGGCAGCACTGTTGGAGGGGGTAGCATGCAGAGAGAAGGAGGGAACAATCAGAGGAACCATATACCAGAGAAACTAGGAGCTGGGATCCTGGAGAGAGAGGGGTGACCCTCGACCAGAATCAGGAGGAAAACTTCCTCCTCTGAACCCAGAGAAGGGGAAGACAGGGGTGGATTTAGAAGTGGTCAGAGGTGGTCATCACCGCCCCTGAGGCCTCACTGGACCTGGCAGTGAGGTGCGGGGAGAGTGCGGGAACATCTGGAATTGTAAGGCAGTGAGGATGCAGGGTGCTGAGCAGGAGGGTCGCGTGCTTGTGGTGGCAACCGCAGGGCAGGCGTTTTCTCCAGGGCACTTGGCAGCTCCTCATCCGGAGAGGAGATGGCGATGGGAAGGCTGGTCTAGGGTTACGAATTTGCTGGCTGGTTTTGGCAAAGGTACAGGATATAAAGGACAGTATTGAAGATGCTGGTGAAGATGCCTGCTCCCCTCCCCCGGAATGAATTACTGCTTCCTTCATCCATTTTCCTTTCCACCCAAATCTAGGTAGCAAGTGAAGCCAGAAAATGGTTCAGACTTGGGACGATCTAAGAGACCAGGGAATGGAAATCTCAGTGGGGTTGGCAAGGAAGTGCCAGGGAGAAAGGGCAGCAGGACGTGCGGTAAGCGGTGTAGGGCTGAAGCGGAGGTTGAGAGCCAGTGTGGACGAGGTCTGGACACTCTAGCTCTAGGCGGTCATGTGAATGGTGAGGTTTTCCCAGATGCCAGCAGGACCTGGGGGAGAGAGGATGATGCGGAGTGGTGTTGATGTAAAGTCTGTATCCCAACTCCCAAATGAGAGGAGGAGGAGGCAGAATTAAGGCCCAGGGAAAACATCAACAGACTGCCCACCACAGGATGCATGGGCCATGCAAGTAGGCAGGCTCCACCCGGGAGAGAGGCAGAGGGGACAATATCCTAGGGGTGGGGCTGCCTGCGAGTCTCCTCTACCAGAATGTAGACAACTTCAGGGGCCTATGTCTTATCTCCCTAAAAGCACCTACTGCAGTGCCCCCAACTAAGAGCCCCATAAACGTCTGAAGGATAAACAAACATACTTTCTGCTTTTGTTTCTGACGGAAGTAAATACAACAGCTCAGACATTTAGGCCAATTGGAGGAGCAAGGCCTATCTGAATTAGCAGAAAGTCTTAATGGCACATATTTAAAGTAACCAGGTTTTATTATAGTCAAATACCCACAATGACATTTCTTATTGTGATACTTCTTAATCAGAGCTGCAGAAAGGTTCTTGAAATCCTGTTTGAACGACTAGAAAAAAGTACCTGTATTTGGCACCCTAGTAGTTTATAAGAAAATTGTACCACAAAATGATTGAGTGTACCATCTTACAGGTAAACATCTCCCTCCTTCCTTGTAATGTTATTTATGTAATTAATTTCCATGGCAACCCCTCTCTTCCTAGACTGGGAAATGCATGCATCCAAATTAGCCCAGATTAGGAAGTAAAGATTTGAAATAAACCAAACAGATTTGGATTATGCCAACATTGAAGTGATTCCCGGCAGACGCATGTGTCAACGAGCAAGTTCAGGAGTAGAGGGAAGGTCCCCTACTGTGTGAGTGGCATCCAAGGGGATCTTTCTAATCTCATCCTGAGTTCAAGTATTCTGCTGCGTGTTCAAAAGGCAACAATTGCTGGCTATTTTTTTCTTCTTTCAGCAAAAGCTTATCTGCTTTCAATCACGAGAGACCAGGGAACTCTCTGCCTCCTGGGTCTGCATCTGAAAACTTTGAAGGCAAACCATTAGGCTTTCGGGGAAAAAATACACCTACAAACAATTATTTCCACTGAGCATATTACTGACGTTCTCATTTCTGGCTTACACCCAAACTTAAAAGAAACTTTTAACTAGAATCTACGTACAGAGGACGAAATCCTATTCCTTGTGACATGGGTAGATGAGGCCTCAGAAAGGGGCCAAAGGTTTGTGGGTGGATTGATCTGAAAACATTCCATATGCTATGTGGATAGGTATTGGGTAAGCAGAACATATTTTTGCTATCTGAATCTATAGCTAAAGGTCAAGCTATTACCCTGCTAACAGTTTCATTAGGAGTAATGATGTGAAAAGAGGTATTGCAGTAATGCGTTGGGCTTCCTACTATGCTAATAGTGGGTCATTAAGAATCAGAGGAGAACAATTTGCATTTATCCTCAGAATGCGATAGGTCCTGAAAAGAAATTTCCCTTCTCTCCTAGTTTAATATATTAAGGGGAAGCGAGGGATGATTTTACACAAGTCCAAATTATCTGAACAAGTGGATTAAGGCCAACCATTAAACTGAATACAACTGTGGAAGCATCTACTCTGCTTAACATCATCTGAGGTCCCAAGGCACAAAGATGCATGAAGTCGCCAGGGAAATGACAAAGGTTCAATTTGATCTGTACGCAAATAAGGACTTTTCTCAGATGCCTGCATTCATTCAAACCCTGCCCTTTAA